TCGATGAATATGTTAAATAAGACTGGAATCAGTAATGACCCCTGAGGAACACTGCTGTTTATAGGCCTCCAGCTCAACCCTTCACTGTTGATCACAACCCTGTGAGCTCTGTTACTCAACCACCTCTCTACCCACCTCACTGTCTACTTGTCTAACCAACATTTCCAGAGTTTCCTAATTAAGATGTTATGTCAAAAGTCTTGCTGAAGTCAAGGTAGATGACATCTATTGCTCTCCTCTCATCTAAGCAGCCAGTTATGACATTATAGAAGGCTATCAGATTGATCAAGAATGATTTCTCCTTGGTGAATCCATGCTGACCTCTCCCAATAACTTTCTTTTCTTCCAAATGTTTTGAGATGAAATTCAGCACTACTTGTTCCATCACCTTTCCAGGGGCAGAGGTGAGACTAACCGGTCTGTAGTTTTCTGGGTCATCCTTTCTGCCCTTTTTGAAGACTGGAGTGGCACTGGCCTTCCTCCAGTCCTCAGGCACCTCTCCTGTTCTCCATGACTTTCAAAGATGATGGAGAGTCACATAGCAACAGCATCTGACAGCTCTTTCAGCACTCGTGGGTGCATCCCATCAGGGCCTACAGATTTATGGGATGTTCAGTTTGGCTAAGTGATCTCTAACCTTGTCCCCAGGGTCTGGGATTCATGAGAGCTGTCTTTAGCAGTGAACACTCAAGCAAAGAAGGCATTCAATAACTGTGCCTTCTCTGTGTATTCTGCCACTGAGGCACCCACCTCATTCATCAGCAGACCCACATTTTCCTAAGTCTTTCTTTTTGTGTTGATATACTGAAAAAAAATCTCTTCTTGTTGTCTTTGATGCCCTTCGCCAGATTCAGTTTGAGGTGGGTCTTAGCTTTTCCTTGTTGCATCCTGCATTCGCTAACTATATTCCTCCCAAGTGGATAGTCTTGTTTTCCACATTCTGTAAATTTCCTTCTTCTGTTTACTTTTTTTTTCCAGAAGAACCTTAGTCATCCATGCAGGTCTTCTTCCTCCTCTGCTCGATTCTTTACTCATAGGGATGCACCAGTCTTGAGCTCGGAGGAAGTAGTGTTTGAATATTGACCAGTTCTCATGGACACCCACACCTTCTAGAGCCCTGACCCGTAATATTCCACTGAGCAGATCTTTGAAAAGACTAAACTTAGCTCTTCTGATGTGCAGGGTTGTGATTCTAGTTTTTCTTTACTTCTTCCACACCAGATACTGAACTTCACCATCTCTTGGTCGCTACAGCCAAGGTTGTCCCCAGTCTTCACATCCTCAACAAGTCCTTCTTTGTTTATTAGTACAAGGTCCAGCAGTGCACCTCTCCTGTTAGGTTATTCTACCACTTGTATCAGGAAGTTATCCTCAATGCTCTGCAGGATGCTCCTGGACTGAGCATGCCTAGCTGTATTGTCTTTTCAGCAAATATTGGGGTGCTTGAAACCCCCCATGAGGACCAGAGCCTGTGATTGTGAGGCTACTTCCAGCTGCCAGTAGAAGGCCTCATCAGCTTCCTCATCCTGATCACGTGGCCTGCAATAAATACCCACAACAGTCTCTGCCAAAGTGGGATCACCTAGACTAGGTCACACAGGAATGCGCCCAGGTGGTTTTTGAATGTCTCCAGAGAAGGAGACTCCACAACCTCTCTGGGCAGCTTGTTCCACTGCTTTGTCACCCTCACAGTGAAAAAGTTATTCTTAATGTTTCTGTGGAACCTCGATGCTCCAGCTTGCACCCATTGCCCTTTGTCCTGTTATTGGACATCACTGAGAAGAGCCTGGCTCCATCCTCCTGACACTCACCCTTTACACATTTATAAACATTAATAAAATCACCCCTTAACCTCCTCCAACCTCAAGAGACCTAGCTCCTTCAGCCTTTCCTCATAAGGGAGATGTTCCACCCCTTTAACCATCTTTGTGGCTCTGCGCTGGACTGTCTCAAGCAGTTCCCTGTCCTTGAGCTGAGGGGCCCAGAACTGGACACAATATTCCAAATGTGGCCTCACCAGGGCAGAATAGAGGGGGAGGAGAACCTCTCTCGACCTATGAGCCACACTCCTTCTAACACACCCCAGGATTCCATTGGCCGTCTTGTCCACGAGGATGTATTGTTGGCTCATGGCCATCCTGCTGTCCACCAGGAGCCCAGGTCCCTTTCCCCTATGCTGCTCTCCAATAGGTCAATCCCCAGCCTATACTGGTACATGGGGTTATTCTTTCCTAGGTGCAAAACTCTATACTTGCCCTTGTCGTATATCATTAAATTTCTTCCCGCCCAATTCCTCAGCCTGTTTAGGTCTTACTGAATGGCAGTACAGCCTTCTGGTGTGTCAGCAACTCCTCCTAGTTTTGTGTCATCTGCAGAAGTGTTGACAGTGCACCGTGTTCCCTCATCTAGGTTATTGATGATTATATTGAATAGTACTGGTCCCAGTACCGATCCCTGAGGGACTCCTCTAGGTACAGGCCTCCAACTAGACTCAGACCCATTGACCACAACTCTCTAACTTCTTCCCTTCAACCAGTTGATGACTCACCTCACTACTTGATCATCCGGACCACATATCCTCAGTTTAGCTACGAGGATGCTGTGGGAGACAGTGTCAAATGCTTTACTGAAATCCAGATAAACCACGGCCACTGCACAGCCACCATCCATCCACCTGCTTACATCTTCATAAAAGGCTATCAATTTCGTCAAACCTGACTTCCCCTTGGCAAAGCCATGCTGATTGTTTCTAATGACCTTCTTATCCTTGCCTATGCCATTCTATGATTCTATGATATGCCCAGAGACAGCACTGAGGATAAGTTGTTCCATCACCTTTCTATTAGTGGAGGTGAGGCTGACTGGTCTGTAGTTACACAGGTCCTCCTTCTTGCCCTTTTTGAAAACTGTAGTGACATTTGTTTTCCTCCAGGCCTAAGGCACCTCTCCTGTTGCCCATGACTTACCAAAGATGATGGAGAGTGGCCTAGCAATGACTTCCGCCAGCTCCCTCAGCACCTGCAGGTGCATCCCATCAGGGCCCATGGATTTATGGATGTTAAGATTGCCCAGCTGATCCCTAACCCAGTCCTCATCAACCAAGGCAAACTCCTCCTTTATCCTGACTTCCTCTGAGACCTCAGGAGACTGAGGCTCCTGAGGGAAGTCTCCAGCAGTATAGACAGAGGCAAAGAAGGCATTCAGTAACTCTACCTTCTTTCTGTCTTCTGTCTCCAGGGCACCCACCTCATTCAGCAGTGGGCCTACATTGCCTCTAGTGTTAGTTTTGCCCGCAATGTATTTGAAGAAGCCCTCTCTATTGTCTTTGACCTCCCATCACAAGGTTTAATTCCAAGGAGGCCTTAGCTTTCCTAATTGCCTCTCTACATCCTCTGACCACAGACTTATCTTCCACCCAAGTGGCCAGTCCTTCCTTCAATTAAATGCAGAAACTGGTTTCAATGCAAAGCAAGGGAAGGAACACTCCTTGGATGCTACTAATAGCACTTTGTTCCCGTAAGTCACCCCTGCCAAGAGCCCCCTTACCTCTTTCTGCATCCAGCAGTGCTGCCCACTGCTGCAGCCTGGCTGTGCTAGGAAGGCATTGAAGTCCATCGTTTTGACTCCACAGCAGCTCCAGTACTTCATCCTGGGGAGAGTGGGGTGACCTCAGTGGGGACCATCCGTGGGAGCAGGAGATGAGACCACAACAGGCTTTGGGATGGTGGAAGAGAGAGGCTCAGGACCAGCTGCTCCCCCTGCCCACCTGTTACCCAGGGAGATGTCACCCACAACTGCACTGTTCTTGTTGTTAAGGCCACAAAACCTTGTGATGTGGCACTTTCAATTCTCAGCAGGGTCAGTTTGCTCCCCAGTAAAGGGTTGTTTCTTACCCCTCATGGAAGACAGGAACACCAGGATGGAAAGTACAAACTTCTGTGTTACTATCCAGGCCTTGATAGATCTGTGGAGCAAGCAGACAAAAGTTTTGGCTGTGCCTCTGGCACAGCATAGCATGGCACAGCCACGTTCTACCCATTGGTTCCTGTCCTTACATAGGGTGCTGCACAATGCCCAACATCACCTTTTCACTAGATCCAGCATCTGTGAGGACTTCCTCTGCAACTATGCCCAGCCAACAGCCCAGCAATGGCCTCTGTGTCCTGCTGG